TTTGAAGGAGCATCATTTCAGGTTTTCATACTACTTTAAGAAGAATACAAGCAAATTGGAGAATCTGGAGAAGAAACAATAGGAGGTTTAAAAACGAAGATCTAGGAGAAAGGCTGAAGCATGAAATATTTCAAATATTTTGAAAAGTAGATTAGTCAAGGATGGCCTAGTTAGAGTTAATCCTGCTTCCATGAAGGACAACAGTCAGATTTTTTTTTTCGTTCAGCCCATTTGTACGATTCTGTCATCTCATATTTAAAGCTGTTTGTTATTATTAGGTTTTATATCAGGTCAACTGTTCATAAATCCAATAATATTTAAGAAGTAATTATTAAAGTTTTTAAAAGTGTAATCATCACAGGTACTCTTATCTGCTAACTTCAGATCACCGTGAAGTATTTAATCTATAGCTTTATAAAACATTCTCAGATAATTTGGGTATGAAAGGCTTTCTTCAAAAGCAAAATAATGTATGGAGCTTAAGAATTTTTAAGAGAAGTCAGGAAAACAAGGTTTTCAAAATCACAGCTAAAATTAAGGCAGGATGTATTTTAACCATGGAAACAAGAACATAAATAAATGATAAAATGGAAGTTTAAGTTGCTTCTTTCAAAAAAGCACAATGGCCCTTGGAGCACTTGAGACGGATTCAGCCACCACGAAAGTGCCCATGGCAAATTTCAAGCCCAAACTGCAAAGCCTACTACTCTCATTCTGTGAGGAAAGGAGACAGGATTTCTACTTGACAAGCAGCTTTGCAGAGAAGGCCTGGGGGTCCTGGTGGACAACAAGTTGACCATGAGCCAGCAACGTGCCCTTGAAGCAAAGGCGGCCAGTGGTATCCCGGGCTGCGTAGGCAGCGCCTTGCCAGTGGGTCGAGGGAGGTGGATGCCATTAGATACTTTAAAGGATAATTCTCTATAAACGGCAAAAACTTTTCCTAGCAATGATATCACATACCTTGACAGATGGGGCAGCACAGTCTGGTGAGTTTTCCATATGAAGAGCTAGAAACATATACAAATCTCTTTTCTTTTCTAAGCGTATGGATGGATCTGAACAGGTCCAAATAAAGAGGTCATAATTAGTAGGCATATTCAAATAGGACCATGCTACGGAAAAGACTCTGTCGATTACTGTAATTTAGGTATAATGGGGAGTGAGGGCAGACTATCCGGGTAAAGGAAAAACAGAAATAGACACACATGTATGTGTTTATATAGCGCACATACAGATTAACTGCCAGAAAATACACTGAAGTGTGGTGGAGAAGTTAGTGCTGGTGTTCGCTAAGGAGCGCAACTTACTTCTAAGCAACACTGCTTAGAAACAGTAAACAGTCATAATGCAATACCACTTTAAAAACAATAAAGTAATAAACCCTCAAATAAACACTGAAATAAAAGATCTGTACTGTGATTAACCTCTTGCTTGTCACTGTATCTACAATTAAATGGTCAAACTTCAGTTAATGTCTTGTTTTTATGTTATTTCCTGAAGCTAGAGATACGCCAGTCTCAAGTTTACTACATAGAGACATTTAACTCAGTAGAGAGATACAAACCATCCTCCATGTCCTAGACTCCGGCAGGTCTCCTCTTGTGAGAATTTTTAATTTTTAAAATTCTTGCTTTCAAATTGCTTTTCAAGCAAAACACTGTAGTGAAGAGAATGCATATATATATAAACATATAATTTAGCTGTATTTATTCACATTTTAAAAATACTGTAAGCCCTTCACCCCATATCAATGCAAACAAAATGTAAAGGAAAATCTGGTATGTTATATTGCCAGACCAGTTTCTCTTTGCCAGCACAATAAATCTTCATCAAAACAAAAACACTTTGCAAACCTGTGAAGTATGTAAGTATCAATTTGAAGACATAGAACTAAGTTCTTCATGGCACCTTTTCCCATAAAATACCATTAGCACAACCATTAAATATTTCACAGGTACTTCATCAGTTTACTACATTCATTAACTCACTGATGTTAAATGGACTACTTCTCTTTTTGCATTATTTTTCACCCAAACCTGATTTTTTTTTTCCATCGTGTGTATCCCCAATGTGAAACCATAGAATAAATCTGTATGCGCTTACCCGCAGGTCTGTTAGCAAGAAGTCTTCAAATGATAATGGTTTTTAAATGACAAATGATGCTTTTAAAGGGCATATAAAATGAAACCAGTGAGTCATATCTGCTATTTTTTTCCCCTTGACACTACCTTTACTCCACACCCTGTCAATATCTGCGTGCTGTGCAGAGGTCAGTTTTGTGGAAGGAATTTGACCAGGCCATCACTACTATATACAGGTAAATACTCTCCCCCCATAGTGAAATAATGGATCAGAAGATTTGTGTCAGGATCTTTAATTAGTACTGTACCAACCTTTAATAGAATATCTCCAGGTTCTGTCAACTCAGGAGCAACTGAACAATCTAAATACCTCCTATCTTCTTTTCAAATACGTAACCTGCTAATACTGATCTATGTAATCAATATATAAAGCAGGACTGTCCAAGACTGGAAGGGCTTGCTATAACAATTACATAAGTTCTCCGAAAGTACTAATGATATTTTTCCATACTTTATTATGCTGTTCACACCATTTTTGACTACTAACTTCTCCCTACTACTGTGCTTTGCGTTGCTTTCTTATCAAACTATACCAAGCATATGGCATTTCCAGAATGTTTCCAGTATCTTTTACTAGGCTCACCAAATTAGGCACATTTTGCTTCAACTGAACTCGGAAGTCACTCAAAAGGAAGAGTGAGCAGGTCTAGAAAATGCCAGAAAAAGAGGAACACTGTTTTTTTTTTGTTTAGCACTTCCTTGATGTAACATGTGACCCAGGCAAACCTCTTTCTTTGTAACATCATACTGGCAGGCAGAAGTGTCTGTTTCAACAAACAGCAAAACAAGGAAGAACAAGGAACTTAAAAGGCAAGTAGAACACATTGAAAGATACTGCGTCCAATTTCCTATTAATTCGTGCTAAAGATAGCATTTTTTTTAAGCAGGCTCAGACTGGTAAATTGCTAAGAGTTGTGGAACTGCACTTTTACTAATTTCAAATTTAACTATTTCATATCAGTTCTGCCACACGAACTACTGAAAGGTGGCGGTCCGACTTCCAGTGCAAGTTTTGGTGGCTGAAAGTATTTCGAAAGCCTAGTATTTTGGGTTGACAAGTCAGAAAAAAAGGAAAGAGGAGCCAACATGTCATATTTCAACTTGCGTTTGTTTTCATTTCCTGAAAGGTCTAATAAGAATCATCCAGTACGTGAACCTGCGACAGAAGTCTTCCCAGACTTTCTTTTAAATTGGCAGTCATACCCACGGCATCTTCACCCAGCGCTCCGCTGACTTTACTGTATCAATAAAAGCAAACAAAAAACCCCAACACACACACACACCAAAACCCCTAAAACCCCGCCACACAGAGGCGCGCACACACACACGAAACTCTTCTACAGCACAAGGTTCTTTACAGTCTCATTTCCTAACGACACAAGCTCTACTCGGCAAAGCTGCTTATCGGAACTTCAGCCCTCGCGTTTCAAAGCAAACGAAATCCACTGAAGGAGCGGAGGGCTGAAGAGAGGAGGGCGGCCCCGAGCCGGGCTCCGTCGAGGCTT